GGTAAGGGAGAAGGAGGAGATTTTACGAGCAGCCTTTATCAATGGGCTGAAAGTGGAGGTGAGGGCTGAAGTCCGTTTAGCCCAGCCCACATCTTTAACTCAAATAATCGATCTGGCCCAACGCATTGAGGAGAGAAATAACGTGATTGAAGAATCCCACGTGGGAACAATTAGACATTCACATGTTAATGGGTCGGGGTATTCCTATGGATCCAGAAACTTGACCCGACCCGATACTCACCCAAACTCAAAATTCCCAAATAACGGAGAATCCCTAAAATCAAATCCTAATTCCTTTTTCAATCGACAATCGCCAGAATCATCAATCCGTGGCTCGTCGACCAACTCTTCCAATCGTGACCAAACACCATCGTCCTTTCGGCCCTACGAACGACCAAACTTCTAACAATGCGAGTTCCCATTCCGTCGAATGACAGATGCGGAAATCCAAAAGAAAAAAGAGAAAGGTCTTTGCTTCATATGTGATGGTAAGTTTTCATTTGGTCACAAATGTGGGGAAAAGCAGTTTCAGATTATCTTAATCGATGAAGAGGAGGAGGATCCAAATCCAATTGGTGGAGGAGAGTCCATCGAATCTGGAATGGAGCCACAGCAGGAACAGGTTGAGATTTCGCTTAGCTCCGTTGTGGGGATTCACGGTCCAAAGACCATGAAGCTCAAGGGCAGAGTCCGTGGTAAGGAGCTGATAGTGTTGATTGATAGTGGGGCTTCCCACAATTTTATTAGTTCAAAGGTGGTGGAGTGTTTGGGTATTTCTGTGGTGGGAACTCAGTCCTTTGGGGTCCAAGTAGGTGATGGGTATAGTGTGAGATGTGAGGGAGAATGTAGAGATGTTTGCATGGAACTATAAGGGGTAACGATTATCCAAAATTTCTTTCCATTTGATATGAGCAGTGCTAACGTTGTTTTGGGGATTGCATGGCTGGAGACTTTAGGTGAAACGACCACGGACTGGAGGAAGCAAACCATGAGGTTTAAATTGGGAGACCATATTGTGTGTTTGCGCGGGGACCCATCTCTCAGCAAAACCATGGTTTCACTCAAGGCTATGATCAAGGCATTGCAGAGTGAGGGACAGGAGTGTTTAATAGAGTTTGGACAGACTCAGAAACAGAGTGCTAATAGTGAGGATGTGGATGATTGGTTGTTGGAAGTATTGCAAAAATTTAGTAGAGTTTTTGATCCACTCCCTGGATTACCACCCGCCAGAACCAGAGACCATGCCATTCAGTTAGTGCCAGGGACTCAACCACCAAATCTCCGACCTTATAAGTACCCTTACTACCAGAAAAACGAAATAGAGCGTATCGTCAAGGAAATGCTAGCTTCGGGAATAATAAAGCCCAGCATCAGTCCATTCTCAAGTCCAGTTTTGTTGGTGAAAAAAAAGGATAGGGGTGGAGATTCTGTGTTGATTATAGGGCAGTTAACAAAGTGATGGTTCCGGATCAGTTTCCGATTCCAGCCATCGACGAATTATTTGATGAGTTAGACGGTGTGACAGTATTTTCTAAGCTTGATTTGAAATCGGGCTATCACCAAATCCGAGTAAAACCAGAGGACACCCTTAAAACGGCCTTCCAGACGCACGAAGGGCACTATGAGTTTATGGTAATGCCCTTCGGCCTCACCAATGCACTGGCTACCTTCCAAGCAGTCATGAATGACGTTTTCAAGCCTTATCTAAGGAAATTTTTGTTGGTTTTCTTTGACGATATCCTAATATATAGTAAGGGATGGGCGAGCACACGAAGCATCTACGCATTACCTTGCAAGTGCTCTTAGACAATCAGCTAGTGGTCAATAAAAAAAAGTGTAATTTTGGGCAGTCACAATTGGAATATTTGAGGCACGTGGTTTCAGTTGAAGGGGTGTTCGTTGACCCTTCAAAGATTGAGAGTATTGTCAAATGGCCAGCACCGAGAGACATCAGGGCACTAAGAGGGTTCCTCGGGCTGATAGGATACTATCGCATATTTGTTCGCGATTACGGAAAAATCGCCCTTCCACTCATTGCCTTGTTAAAGAAGGACTTGTTTGTGTGGAATGCAGCAGCTCAAGGGGCTTTTGACGAACTAAAACAGATCATGACCAGCGTTCTAGTTCTCCGGATGCCTAACTTCACTCAAGAGTTTGTCATAGAAACTGATGATTCCGGAAGTGGGTTGGGTGCGGTGCTAATGCAAAAAGGACAATCGATTGCTTTTCTCAACAAAGGTTTGTCCCTCAATTCAAAGCTGAAGTCAGTCTATGAAACGGAATTAATGGCCGTAGTTCTGGCAGTGCAAAAGTGGCGCCATTGTTTGTTGGGTAGACGTTTTGTTATTCGAACGGATCAGCGCAGTCTTCATTTTCTAACTGATCAGAAATTATTGAGTGAGAATCAACAAAAATTGGTTATCAAGTTGCTGGGGTTCGACTTCATGATTCAGTATAAACCAAGACCGTAGAACAGGGCAACAGATGCTCTTTCTAGGATGCTAGATGTGGTAGACCTTTATGCTATCTTGGTGGGCTATTTTTCTGGGCTGGATAGTTTGGAAGATGTTATTCAGAGTGATGACAGATTACGTGGGATCATGCAACAGCTCCTAATCAACCCCAACAGTCATTATCCCTTCAGATTGGTGGGCCGCCATCTGCTGTAACATAACAGGTTGGTGCTACCTAAGTCCGGGCCTCACACCAAACAAATTTTATAGGAATTTCATGCATCGCCCATTGGGGGCCATTCGGGGTTCTTTCGGACGTATAAGCGTCTCACAAATGTGGTATTTTGGGAGGGCATGAAACACGACATCAAAGAATTTGTGGCTGCTTGCCCTGTTTGCCAACAGAATAAATATGACGCCATGAGTTCAGCGGGTTTGCTTCAGCCGTTACCCATCCCTCACTAAGTGTGGGAAGACATTTATATGGACTTCATCATAGGCCTTCCCAAAGCAAAAAGGGTCGATACAATTTTGATAGTTGTGGATCGTCTGACTAAATATAGCCATTTTTTACCTCTCAAGCATCCGTACACAGCCAAGTAGTAGCGGATCTGTTTATCAAATAAGTGGTTCGCTTGCATGGGTTTCCCCGTACCATTGTTTCCGATCAAGATAGGATTTTCATGAGCAACTTTTGGAGCGAACTATTTAAACAATCGGGTACCCACTTACATATGAGTTCCGCATACCATCCGCGGACAGATGGTCAGACAGAGGTAGTAAACTGTTGCCTAGAGACTTATCTTCGATGTTTTGTCAGTGGACAGCCATAGTTGTGGCCCAAATGGATTCCATGGGCGGAATTTTGGTTCAACACTACTTATAACCGCTCCACAGGAATGTGTCCTTTTAAGGCCCTCTATGGTCGTGATCCCCCCACAGTTTTGCATTATTCGGACCATACCTCTTCAGTCAAAGAAGTGGACCAGCAACTTCAGCAACGCAACGGTGTTTTAGATCATTTAAAAGAGCATCTCCTCAAGGCTCAACACCGCATGAAGTCTTATGCTGATCGTCATCGCCGGGAAATTACGTTTGAGGTTGGGGACTATGTTTATTTAAAGTTGTAGCCATACAGATTGCGATCTCTCGCTCGTCGACTTAATGAGAAACTTAGCCCGCGGTTTTACGGTCCATTTGTCATCACAGACAGAATTGGGGCAGTTGCATACCGGCTGGCACTTCCACCCTCATCTCGTATTCATGATGTTTTTCATGTTTCACAATTAAAAAAGGCAACTTTTCCAATTCCCAATAGTCAACCTCTACCGGTAGCTCTCAATGAAGATCTCATATTACAACTTGAACCGGAAGCAGTACTCCAAAAAAGTAAACTCCTTAATGGACAGTAGGAGGTGCTCATTCAATGGAAAGGCCTTCCCCCATTTGAAAACACTTGAGAAGACTTTGAAACTATCCGCTGTCAGTTTCCTTCTTTCCACCTTGAGGACAAGGTGGCTCTCCTTAAGGAGGGTAATGATGAGCAACTAAGGGGAATGGTATACCGTAGGAAGAAAAGTGGTAAGAAGCAGGGGAATATTTGTTAGGCAGGAGGTTAGAATTTGTTATGAGGGGACAGGTGGCTTGATAAGAGTAGGAGAGAAGAGAATTATGTTAGAAATCAAAAGGTGTCAGGAGAGAATAAAAAGGGCAGGAACGAAAGAGAGGACATTGACAATTATTGAGTCATTTTGGAAGGGAGGTTGCTGACCCTCAAAGTCAGTAAATGTGGAGGTGGCTAACCCTCAAAGTCAGTCTTATGTTTACCATTTTCTTAGTATACTTTGTTATTTTATTTGTGTTAATTGCTATCTGAGTACTGATAGGACATTGCTACTGGGTGTATCTATCTGAATGTAATGTGCTGTGTGATTGGTAATATAATAGGGTATTTTCTCATTTGAGTATGTGTATTGGCTTTGTTGTGGGTAGATTGTTGGTTTTGTTGTGGATTTGCAGGTTGGGTGTTCATTAGATAACAAATTAGCCTAAGCTAGATGCAAAGATCAAGGGCTGTTACAGCTGAAAAATCATAAATAAATTATAGCTAAAATCAAGCAAAATCATATATGTAGATTGATGAATAAGTCTGCTGCAATTTGCAGTTATTCCAACTGATTTTGACCTGGTCTTTTGGCACCTGATTTGCCAACATTTCAACATCTTTTGATTAAATTGATTGTATTCTATTATTGAAAATATAATTCTCCTCTTCCATTTTTCGATTCTTTTTGGTAAACTTTCCATTTCTCTATTTCTTACTTCCTAGGAGAAGCGGGAACACATATCTGAATTCATTTGTAACATGCACCATAATAAACTGTATAATACATTATACAAAAACCATTAAAGATGTGTATTGAAGTCTCTTGCCTTTGTTACACAAAGTGTTCATCTTGCCATTTTAGTATATAAATGCATACCTCAGGTCATTGGTTTCTCCAGCAGAGCTGAAAAGTACCATACAAAAATGGAAATGGTGTTGGCTCAACATAATTCAGAGGTGGACTTTGGATGGCATCTCCAACGAGGCAACGGTTCACACCCTTTAAGCAAAAGCCTCTGCGCAAATACATCATCCACAAGACACTCTGCACCAATCTCATATGTCATATACTGAACCAACTCCTCTTGCAACTTGAAGCAGCCTACCCCAACCGGCGCGATTACTTCATCCAATCCCGTCATTGGGGACTTTCCTAAGGGAAGCTTGTGAGGGCCTAATGCAACCCTCATTTCATCAGACAATCTGATGCTCAAGTCAGCATTGAACTTTCCACCAGGCACACTCGCTACCTTCTGAGTCAAGCGTTCATGTTCTCTTATAAGCTCAATCAACAAGGCATCTACCAACAAATTAGTAGAGTTAAGCTGCTGCTGCAACTCAACAAAGAAGGAATGACTAGCTGCAAGCTCAAATTTAGTAGAGTTGAGCTCATGCACAAGAGTGGGAGAGTCCCAAAGAGGGAGAGACAAATGGTTGTTGTGCCCAGTTAAATTCAAATTCAAAGAAGAGCCACAGAAGATGTAGATTGTGGGAATATTTGTAACAATAACAAACAAAAGAATCTTGAGCTTGTACTTGTTATGGGGCTGTTGTTGTGCCTGCTTTTTAGCATAATCGTCATGGGCTTCATTTCCCATCTTGTGCTCAAGAAAAAGATTGAATTGAATGAAGTTTGAAAGTTATAAAGGGAATGATAAGTGAAGAGAAAGGCAGAAGTTCATGTTCAAAAGGGACTTTGGCCATTGTTATTCGTCGGTTTGGACGTTCAAGAACTTTATTACAGAACATGCAAAGCAATACAATGTCAACTTTGCACACTCTTTGGATCTTGACTCTTGTCATCTTCAGTGACTTGGCTACTGCAGCATTTTAGTTCATTTCTGGCAAGTTGCCAAGCTCTGTAGAATGCAACAATCTTTCTTCTTCTGCATGTCTGTATTTTTTAGTTCTTTTGTCACATTTCACATCGTTAACAAGTGAGTCTGAGATTCAATTTATAAAGTTTAGGTTCTCGTAATTAAGTAAACTATGTTTTAAATGAACACTTGATGAAGCTCTAAAATCAAATTTATATGGACATACTTTCGAACTTTTTCTTCTTTATCTGCTTAAAAATTTTCGTTATTTGGTCAAGGTTTAAGAAATTAAAAAGAAACTGATGAGACAAAAAATACTATTCTAAGTTTGATTACGCAAGGCATTTGACTTAAGTCAAAAGTTCTCACCTCAAGAAAAATATCTTCTTTTCTTCTTGATGATTTTACAAGCAAGTTATTTCCTATGTACTTTGGATCTCACTAAAATTGTGACTGAAAAATTAAGTGTTTCCAGATCTTACATGAAACTCATAAACAAATTCGTAGTGATCTAAAACTTAACCGGATAATATTTACTTAGTTAAAGCTGAGATGTTATAGACGATTTTATGTACACTTATTTTTAAACAGGATCAAACTTTAAATCTGCACCTGAAAATTTTTACAAGATCTGAACTTGATAAGGCAAACCTTGAATTTCAGCCATTCATTCTAGTGAAAGATCCAGCTTGTCATTAAGATGTTAGTTGCAATAGTCATCAAGATCATAACCCTAGTTGTGGGATTTTTGCATTTATTTATTTTAATATTATAATAAGGGTTGACACATTGGAACTAGGCTAGAAAAATTAATAAATTTTCAATGCAGATGGAGCACAAATCTAATAAATGGTTATGAATTAAATATAAATTTCTTCATTGCATTTCAAGCAAATCAAAGCAGGCAGCTTGCCTCCTCCATGTTGGCTGTTGTCACATGTCATGTTTCAATGGAAAGTTCACATCATGAAATTTAATGTTATTATTATAAGTTCCATTAATCACTTGCTCCTCAGAACTTTGGTAAGTTTCATTTCTGCTGTCATCTTTTCTATCAGATTCAACGCAATCCAAACCTTGAGATAAAAGTATTGTCTCTCTCATAAACGTTCATACTCACGTTTTATTAAGATCAAAACCTTCTTAGATGATGTTGATAACAAGTCATCTAATACAAAACGATAAAAATTCAATCAAATTTTCTCATTTCAGACGAAAATCCTAATTTTTTGGGGCCGGGGATGATGCCAGGATCCAAATCAGAAAGGTCCACTTACTGAAAGATCATTAAAACAGATAGTGTTAGGTGAGTATGATCTCTGCATCATCTCAGGGTCATTTAATAATTTGGGATCAGATCCTTCAACACATTAAAATCTTCAGAGCCCAGTTTGACCACAATTCTTTATCTTCAACATAAAATAGACAGCTTTACAACTTACACATGGAGGTTGAAATATTAAAATTATTCATTAATTTTGATCTTCACCATGTTGAGTTTAATGATAATTAATATTAATTAGGACCACACTTAACTTATACCAGCAAAGCATAATTCCAAGTAGGTAGAACTTGGAGAGAAATTAATAGAGTTTCAATCATTTTCATCACTATCAACATTACTATATCTTGAAATTTTTCATAATTTTACAGAGTTTCATTCTTGTGTACTCACAGTCACACCATTTTTTGGACAAGCTTCTGCTAGCGTCCTAAGGTTTTCAATGATCATAACAAGTTTTGTGTTCAGCCGATTCACAAAGCACTTTGGCACCCATCCTGCAGGATCTAACTGAAAAAACAAAAACAAAATTAGAACTTTTGGTTTAATCAATTACCACTAAGTTGGATATTTGTGTTAAACAATCCAAAGAAAATAATAAAAAGAGGAGGCTAGGGTTTCATTGATATTGCACAATTCAATTGAATACAAAAAGTATGATTTAACCTAAATACAAAGATATATATATAGGCTAAATAAAGGAAATAATGAAAAGACAAATCTACCCTTAATAAACAATAAAACAAAATAACCCATATTTCTTAACAATTTGATCGACATGCTCGATGACATAACTGTTGAGTGCTCACTCTTATATCTTCTTTTAGCATAGCGTTTTGTGGTGTTCAATACACCTTAACAATCATGTCATCAAATGTGTCGAGCACATTAGACAAATAAAAACAAAATGGTTGAAAATAATCATTTAATTTGTGGTATTTTTTAACACTATCTTTACTATTGAGTAAAGGATGTTTGACATATTCGATAACAAGATTGTTGAGTGTTGTTGAACGCTCTTACTTATATCTTTTTTCAGCATAGCGTTTGATAGTACTCAATAAATCAGTACACCGAATAATCATGTCATCAAATATGTCGAGCACAATGAACTCAATTATCATTTAATGAAGCTCGGTTAAATTATTAATACCTGAACAACGTAAGTGACCATACATGAGTCATCTTCAAGCTTCTCCACAACCCATCCTGATTGAAGCAAAAGTCCCCTTATTGCATTGTTTTGCTTTAGATGCAATCCAGCAGCTATCTCTTTTGGCAGTGAAGCTACTGCAACCACCTGCAACCCCCAATTTCAGCACACTCTAATTAAATCCTTAACATTTTTCCAGTCTTCTGTCTATGATCAAGCACTAAAATTCTGCGTCTAGTACTTACAAGAGTGCCATCTTCCATCGTTTCACGTCGTTCATAGACAATGAATTCTCTGTTTCTGAAAAGAGGTTTCGAATTCTCCCCGAATCTGAGTCGAATTATACTGAGATTATCTTCAAGATCTTTTATGTACTTTGCTTCCACTGGATCACCATCCCATTGCTGGTCCCAAAAAAAATTACTCCTTTGTTAAAAGAATATTTCGATAAAGCTAAAATTTTCCTCAGCTGGACCCTTGAATAATAATCCAGAAATCAGTTAAATTATGATCTAATGGTTCAGATGAATAGGAAGCGTTATCCCTGTAACATACTGTGATTGTGAATAATTCCAAGAGCTAATACAGAACAAATAAAATGCCATAAATATTTTTGCACAATGGAATCAACGTAGCTGTATATTTTGTCATGCTGATAAAGACAACTAAACATAAAAAGAAATGAATCACATAAATGCTAAGGACAAAACTCATCTTTTCAAGGCCTTGGACCATAATCCAACTCACTTTGTATCTATATGTAACTATAATTGTACTATAACCAATATCCAACAGACAGATTAATTCTTTTTACTTTTATTTTTTTCAATATTTTTATAGCTCCACAAATTAATAGCCTTTATTGATTAATTTTCATACGTAAGGGCATGAATTGGTCACCTTGGCAGCATCTATGGCATTTGCAACGGTGATGAATTGCTGGGGAGAGACTGATTTCAGCAGCCACCTGCTTCTAAAAGTGTGAAGTGACCCTGATCTTCTTTTGGAAATTTCAACTCCATTGTCAAGAGTAACAATTTTCCACCCATCATTTCCATTTCCAAACCTGTTTGAGTCTGAAGCTGATCGCGACTCCTGTATGCAACTCTCGCTTGCAAAGTGCACATATCTTTTCAATGAACCTTCACTTATAGACCTTCACAAATTCCAAAGCCAAGTAAGAATGAAAACCTAAAACAGTACTAAAAAGTGTAGATATATGTATACTCACCAGGACCTGCTGCAAGGTGTTGGACTGTTCATTTTGAGAGCCTCGACGGTACAAGAAAAATTATTTTGTGAAAAAAAAAAAATAATAATAATAATAAGGATGACACCTAGTCAGGAGACATAACCTGGATGGCGTCATATATATTGAAGAGGAGAGGTTAAAGAATGGTTAAAAGGAGGGGAAGTAAAATGGTGGTGTTACGCCTGGGAAATTCAAGGGCTGACGTGGGAAATCACGTGATGGGGGGTGACCTGCTCCCGTCAGAACGTTAAGCACATGTCTGGCCTGCCAGACACTATGGGGCTCCCACGTGTTCATCCACCCGCTCCAAATCGCATGAAGTCAGCTTGGAATGTGGGCAATGTGACATAAAGCCGGATTTAGTCCTGACATCTACACCAACCCATGGATTTAATGATGATTACTTGCATTCATCTCGCTATAAAAAGAGGAAGACCCCTTTATTGAAGGGATTCGGCCATTTTACACTCTAAGCTACCCCTCTCTCTCTCTCTTGTAAACTTTATATTTACTTTTCCCTTATCACTTGTAAGTCAGCCCGCTGTTGCGACCTGACCCACAATACTAATACAAATCAGTGGACGTAGGACTTGCTACCTTCGCATCCAAACCACTTTAAAAGCTCTCATTGCATTTATTCTACATTCTGTCCATAATCACGTGTCTCTTGACCAACCAACGCTACACACGTGTCGATTAGTTGGTGTGGCAAATCGCGCATCAACAGTTTGGCGCTAGAAGGAGGGCCTGATTTAGTGTTCATCCTTCATCAGGAGAATCTCTAACCTACTGGTCCTACAGCAGCAAATGGCCCGCCTATCTGAACCTGAGCAAGCCAACCAGTGCATTGAGGGAGTCCCCTTGACCCAAGGGGATACCTCTTCCAGAATACTTCCAGTTCCGCAAAATGCTGTGGTAGATATCCCAGCCGCTTCGCAGCTTGACCCCGCCATTAGAAGCTACCTGGAGAGGTTCGACAACACCCTCCAGACGGTCAACCAAAGGCTGGACTGTTTGGACCAAAGCGTGCCATTCAGAATAGTTGGGGCGGTGCAACCGCCAAAAACGCCTGCAGGTCGCGCGAAAGCGCGGCAAAGGGAAATAGCCGTGCCGTGAGCACTGTAGCGCGTAGACGTAAGGGTAAGCAAGTGGCAAAAAGCAAGCCTACGGGCTCCAAAAGGCCAGCGAACACAAACCGTGCCCCGACTAGGGTGCCGGCAAAGCTGAGACTCGGCGAAAAAATAAATCTCGAGCTGTCCCATGCCACGTCGCAAGTGAACCCAAGCAAAAGTGCTGGGCGGGGCGATTCTTATCACCGCCAGCAGAGCGAACATGATCGCCATCGTGAGGGTGATCCTTACACCTCGCGGGACGGTTCATACCACCGCGAGGGTCGTGAAAATACCCCGCACCGTCCATCGCCTTCACACGCCTCTAGCCAGCGTGTGTCGAGAGCGGCCGAAAGTGCCGGCCGAGGCAAAGAAAGGTCCGACCTCCGGACTCTCCTAAACCGTAATCGCGAGGGCCGGACTCGCATGGGTGAAAGCAATCCCCAACTGGCTCCATTACCACAAATTGAGGAGTTGCAGCGAGCTCTGGACAAGCTGAGAGAGCAGCAAAACGAGCAGACCCAGGTCGCCTCTACATCCCCCTTCTCTCTCGAAGTGTTAGCTGCTCCACTCCCACCAGGTTTCAAAATGCCCGACATGCAGTCGTTCGATAGGAACCATGACCCGCAGGATCATTTGTATGAGTTCAACAACCTGATGGAGCTCCACCAGGTTTCGGATCTTGCAAAATGCCGTTGTTTGGCCGTGACGCTGACTTCTCATGCCAAGCGGTGGTTAAGGTCTCTCCCAGCGGGATCGATCAGTTCGTGGCCTCAGATGAGCACGACGTTCCTACGGCATTTCCAAGCAAATTGGAAGTTCTCGATACCTTTGAGCTATCTAAGCAACATAAGGCAAGAAAGAGACGAGTCCCTACAATCTTATATCGACCGTTTTCACAGGGAACTCAACAAGGTGGCTCACACCCCCGAAGAGTCAATCCGAACACTCATAATAGCTGGAGTTCGCCCGCAAACCGACCTGTGGAAAGAATTACAGGCTGAGGATGATGTTTCCCTCACCAGATTCTATAACCCAGCGAAAAAGTATCTCCGTATAGAAAATTCATTGGTGGCACTACGTCGTCGCGATCACGGCTCTTCGGGTAGTATGTCTGGTCAAGGAGAAATTAGAAGAGTTGATCGCAAAAGAGACATTGACAATCAGTGAAAAAGGAAGAAACCCCGCTACGAGCACAAAAAGTCCTATGCTCTCGTTCCTCGTCGCGACCACGACAGGCCCCAATATACTCCGCTGAACGCCTCTATATCTGCCATTCTTGATAAATCCGAAGAAGCCAATCTGCTCGGAAAACCTGAACCGATGAAAACCCTATGACAGCCAGAAAAAATAAAAAGTATTGTCGCTATCATCGGGACAATGGGCACCATACTGACGAGTGCCGAGCCCTAAAACAAGCAATCGTAGAACTTATCAAGAAGGGGCACTTCAAGGAATACATCGATGACTCTGCCCCCTCAAAAGAGAAAGATCGGGGGGAGCCAAGTAAGAAGCGTCGTGATCGCAGTGGATATAGTAGTGTTAACATAATCTTCGAAGGCCCGCACCTCGCGGGAAACACGCGAGGCGCGCAGGAAAGGTGCACTCGCGAAGCATATCACTAACCGATCAGGGTAATGAACACGTCGCAGCGACCACAAAAGGCTCGAAAAGATAAGCCGATCACCTTCTATGAAAAGGAATCAGCCCGCCTGCACCATCCTCACTACGACGCCCTAGTGATCACGCCCCTCATAGGGCGCCGTAACGTCTGCAGAATGCTTGTGGACAACGGAAGCGCTGTGAACATCCTGTTCTAAATCGCTTTCAAAAGAATGAACCTGGATGAGGCCGACCTGAAGCCCGCCTCGATCCCCCTCTATGGCTTTACAGGAGACCACCTGATCCCTAAAGGAACGATCCAGCTCCCAGTCACGCTCGGTGACTATGACGAGGTAACTAGGCTTACTGAATTCTTGGTCGTGGATTGCCCATCGGCCTTCAATGGAATCTTGGGGCGACCTCTTTTGAGAAGCTTCAAGGCAGTCACTTCCATATACCACCTCAAGATGAAGTTCCCCACCCCAACAGGAATAGGGGAGGTGAACGGATCGCAAAGCGCATCTCGAGACTGCTACGTAAGAGCGGTGCAGATGGCAAGTAAAGGAAAGGGCATTCCGCGAAGTGCGCCCCACCAGGCTATGGCGATCAGCAGGATCGAGCCGCAGCCTGGCCCAGTAGAGGATAATTTGGATCCTCGTATTCAGGAGATCCCTTCCAGCGGCCCAGTTGGGGACTTGTCTGAAGTGTCGGTCGACCCGAAAGAGCCAAGCCGGATACTAAGGGTTGGGAGCAGCCTCAACCCTCAGCTCGCGTCCGAACTGATAAGCTTCTTAAGAGAAAACATCGACGTGTTTGCCTGGTCGCATGCAGATATGGTCGGGATCAGCCCGGACGTTATTTGCCATGCATTAAACGTCGACAGCGAGGCAAAACCAGTTCGCCAAAACAGAAGAGCAATGGATCTGGAACGGTATGCCGCATTAAAATCAGAAGTGGAAAACCTCCTCCGGAACGGGTCCATCCGAGAGGCACTCTACCCGACCTGGGTTGCCAATCTGGTCCTGGTAAAGAAGCCAAACGGCAAGTGGCAGACCTGCATTGATTTCAGTGACCTCAACAAGGCTTGCCCAAAAGATAGCTTCCCTCTGTTGAGAATCGACCAACTCGTGGATGCCACCTCGGGGCACGAGCTGCTAAGTTTCATGGATGCATACTCGGGATACAATCAGATCCCTATGTATGGCCCAGACGAGGAGCATACGTCCTTCATTATAGACCGGGGGCTGTATTGTTACAAAGTTATGCCTTTTGGCCTCAAGAATGCTGGCGCGACCTACCAGCGGCTGGTCAACCGTATGCTCTCTGACCAGATTGGAAGAATAATGGAGGTCTATATGGATGACATGCTGGTCAAATCCCAGGTCGCCTCAGAACACATCGCACATCTCGCTGAGATGTTTAACATCCTTCGGCTGTACAGAATGAAGTTGAATCCCCTCAAGTGTTCATTCGGAGTATCGTCAGGAAAGTTCCTAGGGTACATGGTTAATCAGCGAGGGATAGAAGTAGACCCCGAGAAGATTCAAGCTCTGCTGGATATGGAGAGCCCGACCAGCAAAAAACAGGTCATGAGCCTAAATGGGCGAATAGTAGCATTTAGTCGCTTCATATCGAGGCTAACAGACCGTTGCTTGCCATTTTTCAATGTTTTGAAGGCTAATAAGAAATTCGAATGGACTCTCAAATGCGAACAGGCATTCCAGAGCATAAAAGAACACCTCGGGAGGCCACCTCTTCTCTCTAAACCCCTTCCACAAGAAATCATGCTCCTCTATCTGTCCGTCTCTCAGTTCGCGGTCAGTGCAGCTCTAGTACGAGAAGAGGATAAGGCACAATAGCTAGTATACTATGCGAGCAAGTGCCTGTCGGATGCCGAGATGCGGTATCCAGAAATGGAATGATTAGCCTATGCTCTACTGATCGCCTCCAGAAAGCTGCGACCTTACTTCCACGCCTATACGATCCATGTAATGACTAATTACCCCCTTAGGCAGGTCCTCTAGAAGCCAGAAGCCTCAGGTAAACTGCTCAAGTGGGCCATGGAATTAAGCCAGTTCGACCTGAAGTACAAGTTCAGGTCGACCATCAAAGGGCAAGTTGTTGCCGACTTCATCTTAGACTTTTCCTATCTTCCAAGCAAGCAACAGCCTAGCGAAGTCATCCAGGAAAGTATTCAGAACATGTTGACTTGGAACCTCTACGTCGACGGGTCATCAAACAGAAAAAGAGCCGGTACGGGTCTTCTCCTTGTAAGCCCCGAGGGGGCTCGAATTCATGGCATTCTCCGGTTCGGATTCAAGGCAACCAATAACGAA